ACCGATAGCATCTTCTCCTAAGTGCGATATAATGTCATAACTCCAGAAAACCGCCGGCTCTCGGTACCTCCACGCGTTCAGGGGCCCAGCCTTTCCTCATCCCTCGCAACTGCAAGTGGAAATATTATTTACCCGTGACTCATTCCGTGTGTCTCCCCTTGCGTGTACAAATCCCGGAATCCTGGGAAAACGGGGCGCATCGCGGTTCCCGTTGTCTCGGCTAGACGGCAAATTACAACCTCTAAAATTTCGTCGTTGTGCACGAGACCGGGTTCGAGGGAATGCCGTGAGAAATCCTAAAGAGGGCTAGATCCGACTCTCCAGGACAAACCATATTGAAATAAAAAAATCCATTATCAGAAAATCATTAGCAAAACAATACCTTTAACATAAACCAATGATAAAGACTATTAACTTTATTTGGATTTTACGGGCTGATTAAAGGGATAATTCTCTAATAAACTTTTTAATTGTTTGAAAATTAAACGAAAGTCTGAAACGACCGGACGTGTCTAGACTAGACTTCTGTTCAGTAGAATTTAAAACTTATTTAATACACCTTTATCTTACCTAACTCTAATCATTAAAGCTAATTGACCGAACGATTTATTATTTTTTTAAATAAACAAAAGTCACTGCCCATCCCTAGTTCAAATCGCATCATCTAGTCCCGAACACTTCATCTCTTTTGTCCTCTCACCTCACGACAATGACACCCCTCCCTCTCCTCCCCACCGAAACCCCCTGGAATAATTGTGACACGACTCTCGCACGCGTCATACTTTCACTCGTCTCGGCAATTAGCGCTTCAAATTATCGCCTGAGGGACGGCGAGGTGAACCGTTAATTAGGATAATTCCCCGAGTAATTCCACCTGAACAAAGAGATTTGTGACACTCTCTCGTCCCCATGACCCCGGGAAACCCTAAAAACCCGTCAAAATCACAACGCGATTCGCATTAGAGCGCATGCGTTGTAGATCGTGGCGCGCGCGCATCATGCGCCCACGCACTGCGCACCTCTGACACTCCATAACCCGCGCGATTGGCCACTTATCTCTCGCAGAAACTACGCATATTATTGGCGATTATCCCTCAATTTGAAGTTATTCGAAAAATCCAAACACTATGGCTACACTCATAAATCGACGGATTAACCTCCGAGTTTAACATTATCAATTATCCCATTGCATCTCTTTCTCGCTTGCAACATGAAATTTAGCCTCCCCTCTTCCATCATGAATGCGTATATTCACTTGGCAGGTTTGCAGGATCGAGAAGCCTAATATCACATGTATGCAGGAAGACGAATGCCCGCGGTAAGACCGCGTTATTACCGGTAATGCTCGGGGTTAGCCACGGCCACACTGGGTGAATAGATGCGCATGATGAAGAGAAAATCCCGCGGAAAGGGGGGAGAGAGTTTGAGAAGAAAGAAAATACGAATGGTCTTGAGTACCTTGGCTAGGATAAGAGCTGTCAGTTGCATTCAACTGACGACTCCGAGTCCATTACATGTCAAAGATCATAGACCCTGGTCTCGGGGGTCTAGGGAGAGTCCCGAGAAACTTTAATGGACCCTAACGAGACTCGATGTTGATGGAAAAAGTGTCCGGCAATGTGGATACTGGCTAATTAGATGGCTCTGCTAAGGAATTACGGGTTATGCTGGCTTTTCAACAGCATGCGGGCCTGCACATGGCAAAAAGCCTTTATCGGTAGAATTAAAAAGGGCTGGGAGGAGATTTTAACTAGGGATTTTTCCTAATTGTCGGGATATTTGCAGTTTTATTAGCATTCCAATGGGACTTTGTCCTGGAAATACAGATTTATGGGGGAGGAGGAGACGTTGATAACTTTCCTTTCCAATTTTCATAGGTACGATTTCACCTCCGAGACAACCACTCACCTCTGCTCAGCAAAAAATTATGGGACAGTGGTTTAACACGTGGGACTTGTATGTCGAGAATCACGTATTCATCGCACTCTGATGATCCTAAATACACAGTTAATGACCACCTGTCATGACTGGTGTAGATGTACGATCTCTATCATAACCTACTGTGCCTCGTAATTTGAATTTAATCAGTCGGTCAAGCCATAAATCGTGGACTTTAGTCAATCAGTACGGGAACATTAAATTTTTGCCGTGGGGGATGGACTCTGTTATTGTTTTTCGGTGGTGGATACTCACCAACGGTTTCACATTCTTTCAATTCAGTCACTTTCGTCATCGCAATGTTTTGCATTTCAATGTAAACAAATACTGAATGTATTCATTCGGCTAGACTGTTGGCATTTACACTTGAAATTTTTCACAATACACCACGGGGTGACGTGAGATTTCTGTAGAATTTTTCATGGACGATTGTTTTTTTTAATGTTGCGGTAATTTTCTATTTTCTAGATTCAGGTGACACTGAAAAACCGTGAAAATGTCAATAATTCAAACGATCACGAATTTTCATTCTCTGAATTTTCAATTAATTAAACATTCAATTGTAAATGGAAATTGAGAAGTTTAAATGAAAAACGTCGAGAGGCCATACATAACGGTAAAATTAAAAAAAAAGCATTCAATTGTATTGTATGTTTAATTCTCAAGATAAATAAAAAAATTAGTGATTAATGTCAATTGAAATTGAATTCAAACTTATATAATGAAAAATTCTCATAAATTTTTGTTTTATTCTGGATAAAAAATATAATCTTCGTTTTATGGAAAATTTGGGAAAGCATGAATGAAAAGCAAATGTCAGTGACTGCGATTAGGAGTGGATATTTTCATTACCGGAAGACTTGAGATGACCCATTATCAACTCATATGAACGAAAGTAGTTAACGAGCATACACATCAGACATAGAGCACACAGAACCAAGAATTACCACCAACGTCGTACGTATAATACGAGGAACGCCTCGACACGCCTATAAGAGTTGCTCGCAAACTCTAAACCCGGTTTTTTTTCCGGGTTGTACAAAACGCTACATACCCAACTACTTGATCATTATCCGACGCTAGCTTGTAAACAAGGAATGCCGTTTATATACGGATTTGATTCGATTTGGTCCATCAAGTCTGGGCTGTTCTCTGACATTCACGATGTTCATTAAAAAAAATGTAAACGGAAATGAAGTCATTCGTCACCACCGGAATGTTCCCAAGTATGGTCATGACGATATCGGAAAGATCCTTGAATAATCCGAATAAAAAAAAAAAATGCAAAGCATCCGGAAGTGAAAATGAAATGGTGGACTCATCCCTTAGGCTCGCGTGTCTCCTCAATTTCCCTTGAAAGTCGGAAAATGCGACAAGGTCGCGTCTTGACGATGCGTGCCACCGCGGGCAGTCGTATATCGAATCGATCGTACGCGTCGATCGATCTCGCGAAAGACGTGATGGCGAATAAATCGTTATTCCCTGAGTTTTTCCACGTCGGAGCGAAACAAACATACAGCAGCCCAGTACAGATATATATTGGTTACCCTCTTATACGACATATCGTACAGGTTTCAACATTTATAAGACACTGGACGGCGCCGATTTGTAATCGAGATTAGAATCGATCTACTTGGGGTACCAGCGGCATTTCTATGAAGTGATCCCAGCCAATAACACCAATCCAACGGGAGGAAGCCCCACGGAGCGACTACTTCAACGATTGAAGAATCACATTTCACGTTCTTTTCCACTTTTTTAACCGGCCGATTATTCTCATTTATTTATTTTTTGCTCACTCCGTAATGTACAAGTCGCCTGTCATGAGCAAGACCAAGTAGACGCGTCGTAATAAATCTCCGCTGAAGTAAATTTCAAATTGTTTTGCACTCCTCCCCTTTTTATTCTTCTCATTGCTTCTCAGTGGAAACACTGTATTCTTCATATCCCGAATTTGCCATTTTTTTTTCTCAAAGTAACCGTAAGATCTCATTTGTGTTCTCTGCTATATGTGTTGACTTGAATCTTGCACCAAATTATAATTTCGGGTTATCTTTGATTAATCCACTGGCGGCTTTCTCTCTTTAATGATTTTAAAATACTTAAGAATCGTTGAGCAAAGTAGTTCAGGAAGTATCTGATGAACTCTGAAAAAAGTATATTTATTTTCAAGTTCGAAGCTACGAATTCCGGTCAATCTCGTAAAATGGGAATTTTGCATTAATAAATTAAAAAATTATCATAATAATAGGTCTCCTGAATTTAGAGTAGCCAAAAATTGAACAGCATTGCGAATACATTGCAATACATGTCGTGAAATTAAATTAAATGGAGTGAATGGCCAATTAAAAATTTATTTATTTATTAAAACATTAATGATTGTTTTCAATCGAGTTTGAGTTCCAGCACAGATAATTGAATATTTAAATGATTTTGTGACTTTCCTGTGAAGTTTCAAGAAATTTTTAACAGCGTATATATTACCCACACATATTCGGTACATATCTACCATATATTTCACACATAATAACTAGCATATATTTTTTTTCGCGAGAGCTGCTTATTCAGTGTCAGAAATACTTGACATTTTAGTGGAGACCCGAGCGAAATGGGGCACAGGGGCGGAATGAGGGGGTTCAATGGGAGGCGAGGGGAAAAAAATCATCGTAAGAATCCATCACCCACCATTTCAGTTTTACCAGAATTTTATTATACTTAACCCATAAAAAAATGCTCAATTCCCATATAAGGACTTTCACGATCAGACGTAAGAAATGAGCAATTAGTCAGATGGTGTATTTTTTGAGACTGTTTAAAAATAAAAAAAGTGACCAAACAACAGTGTAATTGAGAGAAAAAATAATTCCGCAAAAAATCCTGGGGCACTTTAAGACTATCTCCAATATTTTTTGTCGAAAAAAAAAATTACTGGGACCAAGTTAAAGACGCTTTTCCGCAAATTTCCCATTTGCATCACTCTGTCCTGATTGTTTATACATTATTTATTGCTGTTTTTTGATGGTATGATTGGTTTGGTCATGGTTGTGATGATTTATTTACAGTGTCTCCTGCACTTCCTCTGGTGGATGTTGTACGGGGGCGAGAGCACGAGAGGGAGAGCAAGAGGGAGCACATATGTGATAGGGAATCCCATCAGTCCGGACAGAGAGACATCCGAGAAACCAGGGAGAAACACAGGGACAGACTGCGGGAACGAGAACGAGAACGAGATCGTGAACGGGAACGTGACGTATCCGTCTGCGGAATTGAACCACCCGATCCCGTTTTCGTCTCCTCCTCAGCTGCTCTCCTCGCACTCCAGAGGATAAAGGAGGCGTCGCTGTAAGTACACAATTATGTTCGGGCTTGAGGGGGCATTCAAATCGAATTCGGTAATCGATACGTTTTTTCGAGGCAGCCGATTCGGGAATGCAGATAACGGAATCGAGGGGAGAAAGTTTTTATATCGCCGAGAGAAATTCTCGACCTTTTCACGGTTTTTCGCATACGGGAGGAGATTTCGGGATTTTTTAACGCCTTTCGGTGATCGGTTATGAAACGGACCGGTATTTTTGGAATTTTTAGGATTTTGGGTAATGCCATGTGTGACTGATTATCCGGGTAAAAAAAATTGCGATCGGAATATTTTTTTCAAAAAAACGATTTTGAAAAATCAAAAAGTTAGAAAACAACAGTATAGTTAAAAGAAAAAATTATATTCGCAAAAATTTCTAGAAAATTGTAAAACAAATTTTCCGAAACACATTTTTGAAAAATTTTTCAAAACATTTACCAAAAATAAAATTCGCTTGTTTCCCGATGTTTTTTTGTTTCGAAAAAAAAATTCGGAAAAGTTTTCGAGAAATGTTTTGCAAGTTTGGGAATAATATTCCGATTACAATTTTTTTTTATCCGGGTAGCTCGGTTCACTCGAAAAATCAGTGATTTTGTGGTTTCAATTTAAAAAAAATTTAACAGAGTTTTATTTTTTCGATAAAATTTCAAATTTTGAGACTCATTGTGAAATATGAACATCCCATACCATTCCGTTCCCAACAAATGAAATGAAAGAATTGAATTCGTCAATATTTAATAATTATTCCAAATTCCCACTCACGTTGTAATTTTTGAAAGTGTCGATTTTTTAAACTCGAAACATCAACTATAACTTCCCAAGATTGTCCGCACCAGAGTAAATTTTCTCAAAAAATAAATTCCTGAATGTATTATACAGTCCAGTATTCCTCCGCGTAATTTTCCTGAAATGATTATTCGGGGGAAATAATGTTTTCCGCAGCACAAGTAAAGTCCAAAATCCTGAAAATGACACTTTGCTCTCCTCCATAAATCTCGGTATGATTCTCACGAGTTGGAAACTGCGTGTGTTTTGCAGTATGCACAAGCACCAGCACCCGCATATAGGTAGAATTCTAGGAGATGTGCGCCCTCCCGCAGTGAATTCTCATCCGCTCAAGATACTTTACGAGAAAATTCAACATCTCCCAGCAAAACAGCGAGCTTCCCTCCCTTTTTTTCTGGCTCCTACGTATCTATCGGATCGCGAAAGACTTCCTCGAGGGTCGAGGCTAAAATGCGAAACGGATAGGAGAGATGTTAGCATGCCACAACTGTACATATATATGATCGTAGTTTAGAACATGAGAGGCGGAAAAGGGCCTGTACCACGGGGGATTCAACGAATTATATTGTCCACGGTCTCTCCTGGTTTGTCATATAAAACTCGTCATATACAACTCCTTGGAAATTCCTTAAATTCGATTTATCCTCAACAACCAGAAATATTTCCAATTTTACTTATAATTTAATGAATATATTCCAAAATATTTATTAAAAATCCATAAATACGAATTTCAGCGATTTCTATCCATTAGCTTCTACCCAGTGAATTTCCTCAGAGCACCTGAATTCAGTTGACAAACATATTTTTTTCCGAGTGCCTCGCCAACTGCGTGCCCATATGTGTGGGTAAACTCAGTGCATTCCCAAAAAGAAAAGAAGGGGGAAAAAAAAAATGTAAAAATTGAAATGAATGGTATTTTATGATGATTTTATTGGAAAAAGCCCGATTGGAGGACCGAAAGGTAGCGATGAGATTGCGAGAGTCTGGAGCTCGGCAAGTCGTTAGACGTTGCGACGAAGGGATTTCATCATGATGTCTCACAGCATCCAATGGAATGAGGCGCACGCCTGTCCAGCGAGACAGAAGAGAGGCAAAACCCGAGCTTAACTCCCATGCTATTCCGCTGGGAGTCATTTCACGGTGGGAAAACCGGGCTCTTGATCTCGATATTCCCGGGCAGTCGGATTGGTAACCCTCTGGCCGGCCGGACCCAAAGGGATACACCAGCCTAGAAATAAACCTCTCGTATCAATGCATTTCACTGTATAAAACGCCAGGTTAAAGTACGACATCAAATGTCTCACAGCGTGTCCAGTCGTGGTAACGCGATTTATGCTGGTTTAACTGCTGCCTCATGATGTTGTTTATGACTGGGGTCCCAAGCGCCGTCGCTTCTACATTTCGATGAAATACGAGTCACTAAAGTGAATTATGCCTGTTAAAGACATTTCCAACAGCGCGAATATAATAAAACATATTCTTTGTACTCTTAACTACACGATAATTACAAATGAATTTCGTTTTTCAATTCGCCATTGCAACATCCGCATCGCAATCGTCATGATTTCCTACAAAAAACATTTTTTTTATGGAAATTCTCAGCTTCGTGGATTATTTACCCTTTAACAAATCATTGCGCGAACTGAAAAATTTTACTTTTATGAGTTATTAACTGTTGTTTTTGTTCTCCTGAATTAAAACCCCCGGATACGTTAAAAAATTTGATCTTATTGACGGTTTCCATCAAGCCATAAGAAACGAAAACGCAACACCCATTATCCGCATGCGTTTAACTCATAAAACACGTCTCAGCTATCAATCAATAATATCGCTAATAATAAAACATCTGCCCAATAAAAAAAAAGCATTGCTTATACTCTGAACTCGACGATAATTACAAATGAACTCAGTTTTTTCAATGGACCATTGCAACATTGCCATCACAATCATCGTGAACTCGATAAAAAAAAAAATTCATCACTCGAGCCAAAATTTTCCGTTACACAAAGTGGAGAAATATCAATCACGAAATCCAATTCTCCGTGATTCGATTATCGAAATGCGCCAGTGGGAATAATAAAGTGATCGCACGATTGACGGTATTGTTAAGGATGTATTATTAAGTGAGTTTATTGGTGCATAACCGAGACAGAACCACTCCGCATGTTGCTGCCGGTTTTATTTTCGCCGTTGGTTTGGTACACCGTGTGTGGAAAGCAAAGAGAAATTATACCGAGTTTTTTTAAATGACGTAAAGACACATGGACAGGAGGTACTAGCAATGGTTTGCGAGTGTACACCAATCGTTTGATGAAGATGTCTCGATATAGTCAAACGATATTGCCATATCGATGGGCGATGGCCTGTCAAATTTCTTGCTGGCAACGCCATTTATAATATATTTATAATCGACTACTCCCGGTGGAGTATTAAATCCAGGAATAAAATGAATCTAACCTGGTGATGGCCAAATTTGGATGGATTTGCTGGGAGTCAAGGTCTCCCATCGATCTTGATCACTGCCAATCCCACCTCATTCACATACGCATTGTTGATGTGCCGTTGCACTGCAAATGACATAGCCATGTATTCTTTTGAATTATGAGTGTTAACCTTATTATTCTTTTACTCACAGGGTATTTCATAAGCGGCCAACGCTGACACCAGGAATTGGATTGGGTGGACGTGGTAACAGCGGGGTTACTGGTAACGGTGGTAGTCTTGGTGTTGACGCTGACTGCGGTGATGCCCTCAAGCGGCGCAAGGTCCACAGGTGCGATGTCGCCGGATGTGACAAGGTCTACACCAAGAGTTCACACCTCAAGGCCCACAAGAGGACACATACCGGTAATTTATCGTATTATTTCCGTCACATCTTATCACTCGCATTTCCTCAATATACAATATTTTTTATAATACACGGAGGGTAATGTTCAAAATTTTTAGACACCAGCGACCTTGATGTCGCTACCAACATATTAAAAATATTTTTATTATATTTTATTATATTTTATATATTTTTATTTCAATTCGTAAAAATCAGGGACTCACAAATTTAGTGGAAATGATAAAAATTGACTGGATTGCTATTATATACCCGAGAAATAAAGTGAAATAGTCATTGGATATGTTGAAACGAAAAAGGAGCTAATTACGTGGACAATGGGGTGCGCTCGAGCACGATTTCACGGCCCCTTTGGCCTTGACTGTTGATGTACGATGTACGAAGAGAAATAGCATGAGTGTCGGCATTCGCGTAAATGGCAGAAGGAAATTGACTTTTTGCCTGGGTTCTATGTGGTTCGTGATACTAGTGCACACGAGATTGAGCGAATCGCCATACTCTGATGCAGATTCCGGCCCATTGGCAATTATAACATCGAGGGGTCGAATTTCCCACGTTTTATGATGCCGCGTGACGGCACTTGCACAATTGTAACAGTGTGGCGCTATAGGTCCAAATAAGTTTTACAATGTGAGGGAACTTTTTTTGTCTCGATGGGGGTGATAGCGCGTGGGTAAAATGCCGATTATATTATGGCGCCGCGGGAGAAATGCGTAATTGGATAAATCGCATTGCCCCCTCGACTCTCATAAATCAAGAGCTCTCGCTGCCTCATCTGCGGTATTCAGTACTGTTTCGGTTATATGGGATCATCCGCGTGTCTGGGGAACAGTGAAGACGTCAGGAGGTGTGAGTAAAAATATTTAACAATTAAAATAACTTTAGTCTATTCTACTGGTTATGGTCAATGTTGGAGAGGAAATTATCATTTCCCTCGTAACTGTCGCACGTCAATCAACGCAAACCGCGATTCCACCTGTTTCTTTTGTATGAGACTTTTTTATTCTAACGGCTAAATTATGTTCCACTTTTTTGTGCATTTCGGTCTGGGGAGGATGTGCAAGTCTCTCTTGATGGTGTACAAGGATTCCATTGCCCTAAAATTGAATTTTCAATTAATTGTACATTATTCATTATTTCCTGGTTTTTTATAAAAGAATAAATTTACTCCTATGCATTTTTTTACGCCAATTTTTTCGTGTTTTTTTTGCTCTCTTTTTTTTTAGAATATGAAATGGTTTTTTGCACTCTACAGCCCCATGAGTTTTCATTTTTTTTCACTCCTTTTCTCCGTCAATAGTTTTTTTTTTTACTCTCCACTCTTAATCATTAACCCGTAACTATTAATTCCCCATGGCAAGATTTTTCTCACCCTTCACATTTAACTCTTACTTGTGACCTTTTTAAATGGCGAACCCTTGAATGGAAACCCTGACTTATAGAACCAACCCCCGAGAATTGTGGAGCTGCTCCACCCACAAGAGCCACCCCGATTGACACTCTCCATCACATTACAAAAAATTGGAAAAAAAAACCTGGATATCTCCCACCAAAAGACAACACCCATAATCCCCATGCTTTTAACCCATGGAACACGCTTCGGCCATTAACCGGGCATTATAAATCGACGGAGAGTTTCACGGTTGTAGTGCAATCCCCATAGGCCACGAAAAGGCCACAGCCACACCTTTGGAGTCACCCCCGGCTGGTGGGTACACTTAGAGGATACTTAGAAAATTCTAACACCAAAACATCCCTCAGCAATCTCAAGTAAGTGGGCTCTGTTAAAAAGCCCTCGATGGCTACATAGCGGGGGGAGGATAAATAACAACGTGGTTTTCTCAGGATAGTAGGCGATAGTCCCCGTAATATACTGTTAGAATGGCTTATATCCGAACACACGCAGACATTATCCTATATCGTAGCAAGCGAGAGAAAATAGCAATGTTGTATAAAATCCTCCCTTACTGTACAGCTGGAGTTTTCCCGAGTTACGACGATCTCTGGATCGATAAAACATCATTACCCTGGGCACGCGGTTGGACATCGGAGCCAATGCCTCAAGCATGCGACACCCCACCGATCCATTAGTGGAGATAGCCCTATTATCCCAGGTGTATTGGCCTCAGGGGCGTTTTAAAACCCCTTCTATCGCAAAACACACGTATTATCTATTTTTCAAATCGTTCTTAATTATTTTTAACTGTCAATTCACACTTACCTTAATGCCTCGTTAGATCACCCGGTGTATGCTCAACCGACACCTCGTGATCGTGATTATTATCGCTGTTGGGGTTATTAATTTTCAGATGGAAATAGTTTCCCCGGGGAAAATTATCTCGGGATTACACCCGGTGGGGTCGACTATCGCGTGATACTTGATGGACGGGAAATTCATGATGCCGTTTATATTTCTCTTCGGTTTTTACCTGCACTATTTTCTCCCTTTCATCCCTCCTCTATCCCTTTTTAAATCTATGTGTGGACGGGATTCTCTGGCATTAATGATGCACCCCCGCAGGTGACTGACATCCCCCGAGGGGTCAATGGTTCATCTGGAATGAAAATTTAAGTCGCGAAAGTGATCGGGGAACAGATGAAATTTCGGGAAAAGTTTGGGAAAAGAAAAAGAGTTTAGAATCTTAATCCCCAAAAATCATTTTTTTTTCATTTGCAATAACAATAAAAATTTGCGGCATAGAAGTGCGAAAATCAAATATATTTTTTGGATAGAATCACCAATTTTTATATAAACAAATGTTCAATCGCGAAATTACTCAGCATTTCGAATTCCCGTAAACTTCTTCATCGCCGATCGCACGCAATAAATAAATGAGTAAATAAATGAATTTAGTGTAAATATGGCCATCAGATTCTCATTGCAATTTCTCATTGCAAAACCGTGTACTGACATAAAAAATATAAATATCGGAAAAACCCCAAACCGATGAAACCAATCGATTATACGTTAATAATTCCCCTGCCGTCCTTTATAAAAATGATTAATTCGAAAAAACGATTCCCTCTAGACTAATGAGAGCAGCGTAGTACCACGACGTTAATCTATGAGGCAATGAACTCTCGTGCTGTAACTAACAAAAAATGTAATTGAATTTTTTGTTGGTGAGTGTGAAAGGATAAAAAAATTGCATCGAATCAAAATGCATTAATAACGGGTGTATTAATGGGCAGCAGTGCCGGGGCAATATATCCGCACGAAGCCACCAATGGCCACAAGATAGCTCCCATGGCCCCCAACTTTTCTCTCCATATTACCATTAATACCCATGTATATTCCCGAGCTCCATGCATATAGACCGGTATTGCCCCGAGCCTCGTAAATGGACTAATTACTCACCGATTACGAAATAGTGTTTGGCTCGGTTTACGGATTTCTTATGGCCGTCATTAGTTGCCGATTCCTCGAGAACACGCATTATGTAATAACAATGTCTTATAGACGAGTGTGTAAGACTCACTGTGAATCCTGTAAATGGCGGATATAATTTTTATTAAGAATGAATTGTCATCACCTGCGGAACAAGTGGATATTTTTTGACGGAAGGTTTTCCTAACTTAGAGTAGGATACGATTGTCTTCTGTAAAAGATTTATTATTATCACTGGTAATGAGAATAAATAAAGAAGTTGAATGTGAAGTTTATTAATTGATAAAAGGGATTTCTCTCGAGACTTTGAAAAGATGAAGGAAAATATATGATAAAATAAAAAGCAAAAAGTGAGGGGGAAAGGGGGTGGTGGGGTGTCTCTGGAGTGCAGCAAGATGGGATGAATGAGACTATTACTGGAGGTAATAGGATCCTCAGTGTATCAGGATTGAAGGTGATTTTCCACATTGAAAGTTTGTCTCGGTGGAAAGGTTGTAGTGAATTGGATTGCATCATGACGATGGTACGTGACGTCCACCAGAGTAGCAACATTGAATTCATTGGATTATCGGAGGGTAGCACAAATATATGGAAAGAGTGTGGAGACAATAGAGTAGAGTGATGGGCAGTTGTGAGGACAGCTGTCCATAAGAAAAACCGAGTGAGACTGATAAGAGTGGGATCTAACAGACTGGTGCAGTGACATTTGATGAGTGTGGTTGGCCAGTAAGATGGGCAAATGGTAAGGACTGGTGTAGAGGGCAATAATTGGGTGTGAAAACGGTAAAACGTCAGTCCCGACGACATTTAAACCTTCCAGATAGCATATCGTGTCACAATATCGTGAGAGATTCTAACCCGATAGGATTTTAATTAAAATAATCTCTCAATGTCTAGCGTGCTGTGATGATTATTTGATTTATTTATGGTATGTTTGGTGTTTCAGGTGAGAAGCCGTACCAGTGCACGTGGGAGGGCTGCACGTGGAAATTCGCCCGCTCTGATGAGCTCACACGGCATTATCGAAAACACACGGGACAAAAACCATTCAAGTGCCATTTGTGCCAGAGATCATTCTCCAGGAGTGATCATCTGTCACTGCATATGAAGAGGCACTGACCGATGTACCATTATAATGGTATTCCTCTGTATACTCGACATTTCGTATACATCACGGGAGAGCTCATGCTGGACAAGTTGACGATTTACATTCGGGACCTGAGAATAACATTTTTTTTCTTTCTCTCAAGTTAATTGAGGATCTACGATGATAATAGGTGACAAATTTCAAAACCGATAAATTCAAGTTCAATAGGATTTTAGGGCTTGCCTAGGTTATTTGCGGTTAGAGGATTCCCTCGAGATCGTTCATTCGACTCGATTATATTCGTATTTTATTTATAAATCATATTTATATTTTCTTCTCTCGCGGTTTTCACGTAAGGCCAGCTCAACTAGTCTAGAGCAATTTTATCAATCTTAATGTTAGGGTGAAATGGAGCCAGTAAAACGTTTAATTTTAAGATTTATTCTCTATGATTTTTATTGTTTTTAAAGAGAAAAAAAAACATTAGTATTCTCCGTTATCCGGAGCTTGGGACTTAGCATGCTCAGTTAAATAAATAACACAAATCGTGATCGCGTACATTAATCGTCACTTTTTATCGGTATCGATCGGTATCAATTGATGAGTAATATCGACAACTTTGACAAGTTCAATTAATGAAAAAATGAGAATTTCGCGTTTGGTGGAAGGACAATCATACCCTACTGTTGAATTCACTAATGAATTTATAGAAATTCTGAAAGTATTAAGGAAATGCATCATTTCTTGTTGAAATAAAGTGTGTAATGAGCCGTTAATGGCGAGCGATAGTATTTTCTAGTAATAATTTAGGGACAATACCACACTTTTACCGAAATTTGCGTGAAAGGTGCCAAAGTAAAAGACGCGCAAACCCCTTCTCACACAGAGAAAAAACATCCATAGACCTTTTCTCGTAGAACTTTTTACTTTAATCGATATGAAAAAAAAACCTTGGCTGATACGAAAAATTACTATACTTATTTCTAGAAAATAAACTTAACACTAGAAACTTCCTCTCTAGATTCATCGAATAATTTCATCATCACAAAACATTTTCTCCGTAAAATTCAAATTCAGAGTATTTTCCTGAAACTAATGAATCTTTTTTCTCTGTGCACCATAAACAAATCTAACTCTCTCACGATAAAGAATCTCGCCGTTGTTTCCTTTTCTCATCACTGTTGAAGATTTCATCACAGAGCAATCAAAAGTTGAAAGAAAAAATCATTCAAATCAATTCAACACTGCCCTAGATCATTCACAAGAGAATGCTCTACAACTTTTACCTTTGAAAACGCCTAAACACGCTTTCAAAATGATTAATCGATGCCACAATTACTCCCGATGTTAAATGAAATCGAATTGCTCGTAATCACGCTCGAAAGAATACAAAAAAGTGAATGAGGATGCTTCAACTGCTTCTGCTCATTATTTTCGAGGCTAACCATTCGAAGTAAAGAAGAAACAAAATCTAGATGTACTCATGAATTCAAAAAAAAAAATCAGCGATAAAGAGAAACGCAAATCGAGGCGGTAACACTGGAAACTTTCTCTCGTCAAGCACGACAATACACAAGTAATATGTCTGAAGTATATAATAAGTTTTAATGGTGGTTATTCGAGACAAGACGCAAAGAGATGCCAGTACACAACCAGTGTTCCTCTTTCCCTTCAATGTTTTCCCCTCCAACCTGACAGATTCACGCGGAATTATCAAACGAATTAATCATTGTTAAAACGTTACATCTGGTTAGATAATGTAACTAGTGCCTTCTCTAATCGTCGTTACGTGAATCGTCAGTACGTGTTGAGGAAATATTTCCCAGGAAAAACAGCGAAATGAAAAAAAAAAAAAAACTGCTAGTGCCTTATCAATTATCAATTATGCCAGCACTTGATAAATAGGGAACAGTGCGTTGAAAGATCTAGGCATTTAATTATTCAATTCGGTGCTACATTTTATTTTATCGAATTGCCTTAGGTGGGACCACAAGTGTTTGAGGTGTGGAGGGTCGTGGTCTCCCACATCCGTCCAAATCTGTGAAAGATAACATTTTTACATTCCCCCGATGCATTCCAAAAAGCAGCGATTCACGCTCATCGCTTCGTTTAGCAAACACTTGGCCTCTGACCTCGTCCATCTGTTTATCTCCTTTATTCTCCTAAGGACGTGTGACATTTTACCACATGCGTATCCCCTAGGTCAACGCTTTCAACTAGACAAGTGAAAAAAAAAATGAAAAAAAAAGGATTTATCGTGATTAATGCTCGGCGGACGATGAGAAATTAGGTTCGCACAAAATCAAAGACAGGGGAGAGCATGAGGTAGTTTCTCATGGTAATGTCCCATTGAATTTTTCCGTAACCGTAGATGGGTGATTGAATGGGTGAGGAAGTGGCTGGAGGAACTGTTGAATGTGAACGGTTTTTCTTTGAAGGCCCCACCCAAGGAAATTAGCATTTCAAGTGCCTTAAGAGACGTTAACCGGCACTCAACTAATCGAGGTTACGCAGTCAATTAAATGAAAACGTAGATTAATAGAAATAAAAAAAAAGAAAAAGAAAAGAAGTTGGTTCAGAGGACAATTAAAGCTCATTAGCTCGTGAATTTGTTGTAGAATTCGTAACGAGTTTGCTCTGTTTAGCTTGTACCGAGGATATAATTCATTCTCACTCGGGTTATGATAGCAGCAGATGATGGAGTATTTTGTATGAATGTCTGGGGCCAGTGGAGGTATCTAATTTTTAGTCGGCTATATCCATTTTTTTCTTTATTCACGTAGAATCGATACAATCGATACAATTGATCTGTGCCTCGCGGTTAATGCGATATGTCGCGAGTCTACGCGGAAAACGCGGCCAGTAACACATATTAAATGACAGAACAGAACAGACCGACAGGTATTAAACAGGTAGGCACGCACACGCCCTTCCCTTTTTCCTGAAGCCTGACGACTAAAAAGGAATGGACGATTAAGTTTTATCAGCCGGTTTATGCCTATTGAGAAAACACTGAAATTGAGGGAATGACGAGGGAAATGCTGAATGAAAACAAAAATGGCCTTTAGTCTGTTTTCTTTTTCTTTTTGTTTTTTTTTTTTTACAAGTGAACATTAGGGAATAAGTAACTCGAGTTATTAGGAATGACGAAAAGAAAAATCTATAGCCCGTGTAAATAGTCTGTATATGTTGGATAAGGAGGAATATAGTTTCTTAAGGTAATAGGAAAAATAAGATAAATCGCACTAAAACGGAATATCGTTTGAGCCTACGAATAAATTACGTAATCCGTAAGTTTCACTCTGATAACCAATGGGGGCCAGTAATTATCTCTTGGATCTCGCACGGATTTATACATACGCTCTGTGCGGTGCTGTGGTACAGTTTGAGGCGAAAGGGAAATGCTCATTAGGATTCAATGTACTTTTTCTTCTTATGTACGGTTTTATTTCTTTTTATGGATTTTTCGGACTGATGGACGAATCTTTGTGCCTAGCTCATGGTAAGATTATTGGATTATTGGATATGGGTGGAAGTGTGCGCTCGATCAATTGTGATAATGAAAATTAACGCGAAATCTACTTGACGGCTTCGGTCGATTTATTATTTACATTATTTATAATCGTTTTTATCGACAATAAAGAGGTACTCTTGAGTAATTGTTATGGGATTGGGAGTTGAACAGTTCAATTTGTCTCGGACTAATGATGCAAATTCCGCACCGCTGCAAACTATTAGGTTTTAAGGGTTATTATTGTAGGGCATAGGCATCATAGGTGTAGAACAATAATAATATATTGAAAGTGGATAGGTTTCACGTAGATGGTCACTGTATAAATGAAGGCATTATACATCTTTTAAGGGTTTTTACACGGCGAAACTATTGGTAGCTTTGTTTACTTCCTTCGAGAATTTTTGACTACACGGGGAAAAGGTTTGTTGATATCACAGAAGACGTGTGTCGAGGAGAGGGGAGGAGCTTCTAGGCTCCAAAACTGGGGCTCTGCATTGTTGGAAAATTGCACTTGGAATTCCACGTAAAATGAAATTTTTACAAAATTTTTTCACCCCATTCTGGTAATTTGGAATTCTCTTCGAAAAATGGTGAAAATTTCAAATATTTAAGCAATAATTTTTTATTTTCTTGCATTATCGAAATTATTGTAATTTAATTTGAATTCATATAATTGGAAATCCAGATGACATTATTACTGAATTTTAAAAATTTTTTAACAGTGTGCCTATAAATGTAGTTTGGAGATTTTATATTAAAGGAACTTCTTTAGTTATTGAAAAACATTCTCTTCATCAAGAGATCAAGAAACTTTTTCTCTCTACATTCAATGAGAGAAAAAAAAACGCGTCAATGTTACGTAACTAATTTCTTCAGCATTATTAATTTGTTACAAATGAGTTCGAATGATCCAAAACTCGAGATTTGTCAACTAGGTGCAGCCAATTGAGTTAAGAAGTTTTCCTAGTTCTTATTTTCCTCTTCTGACCAACAAAAAAATCTCATTCACGATGAATTGATATATTCAGCGATAAAATTCCTTTTGTGATATCAAGTAGTTTTTTAAATCTCAGTGTAGGTTCGTGGTTCTGATCATCAGTTGTTGAAATTCAATAGATAATTTGAAAGAGAAAATTGATAACGAAGGAAGAATAATTTTACTGTACATTTTGCGGTTGTATCACATTATCACTCGTTACTGTATATCGATGTCTTATTTGTTCTTTCGTTTCGTATTGGAGATAATTTATTTATTGAAATGTGTTCCCCGTGACGAGGGAATCAGACGGACACAATAAATTATATATTGCACCCGAAATTATATATTTATATACATTATAATGTAGTTGGAGGAAAATTGGGAGTGTCCGAGGAAGATAACGCACAAATTTGTACCATAGACGGGTGAGAGTCGTGGGGATGTTTTATTATATTATTTGGTTATTTCTGTGTGCATGAATTTGTGCATTGCAAAAATTATTTAATTCTTTACAGGATCGACTTCGATGTAAGCTTATTGTAATGAGCAAATTGTTACAATGGTGATTGTTCAACAATTTTCGTTCTAGACTACTACTGTTTATTATCCCCCGCTATCATCAATCATTATTTGAATTATTTTATTATATTCTACATTATTATTTCTATCATTATTATTACTGTATTTGGCAGGGTCATGAAAGAAATTAAAGTTTTGAAAAACTATATCATATGGAGACTTTTAATTCATTCTACCTTTTCATTCCTACCTATAGTCAGAGGATAAAACGAATCGGATCAAGAAGAAAGATCTTGCCAGCCGTGTTGACTCTTCGACAGGGTAGGCAAAAGATGGAGACCAGGAAAAAATAGCCCACGCATCTTTCTTACACTAGTACTAGTATTAAACAATAAATCTGCAGATGAATCCACGAATAAAAAATAATGATAACTAATAAAAGTAATTGAGAATCAAGTGTGCACCAAGCTGAAATTTTCAAATTTCTAATTCAGTTTTAAATTCTGTATTTACGACTCCATCCGTCGCTAATGAACTCCTAATGGGCCAGTTGACAATAACAAATCAGTGAACAACCAATAAAATATAGTTAAAGGTGGAATAATAAAATACCCACGATAAAATAAAGCCGGTAAAACCGCAAGGCAGAACTAGTTGACATTAATAATGACATGAAAAGCATCATTACCGATAAATCGTTAACACCGCTTACCCCTCGGAGTATTTAAAAACAATTTAATCGGTGTCGGTAATCGTAATACACAGCAGCATAACTCGGTAATGGATAACAAATTGATCAAGTGGAATCCACAGGGCGGGGTAAAAGGCGTGTGTACACACCACTGAGAGGACGTGAAAACCGATTAAATATCATAAAAGGGAATTACGAGGTTATCTCGAGGGGACCGGTATACCGGATTGCTAACCCATTGGAAACGCGTGCCGATTGAAACCGATCAGACACAAGACTATTAACAAACTTGAAATACACTGAGAGAAAACTAATCAAAAACCTACGATAGTACTTCAACGATCTGTCTAGTCGATCCTGGAAATAGTGAAAATGATACGGGAGGCCAGATCGAATGGACTTATTAGTCAGTCCAGCATTGAGTACACTTGGTACTCATATTACTCCAATGGCAGTGGCACTCGCGATAAGAATTTCCGATAAGAATGTGTTGTGTGCCCGACAAATGTGAAGAAAAAAAAAATGAACACACCAGTTACGTACGCTACATATTTCCAATTGCATTCCCCTTGACTTATGACGCCTACCAGTACCCACGACAAAGAACCTCGGGGCAATTTGTGCGCTCACATGTATTTACCTTTCTCGGAAAATTATTTTTTGTTTAACGGAGAGAATGTTTCGACGGATCGATTCTTATGAAGACTAGAATTCTTTCGACAAGTGTGAAGAACTATTCACCGATAAGTATTTCTTCAAATTCAACCCTTCAATTACAATTATTTTCTCGTTTTTATTTTAAAAATGCCATTAGAATAACGAGAGACAATAGTTTTATGTGAAAACATAAATGCGTTGTTTCTTCGACATTCTTGAGGACTCATAGTTTATTGAATGATTTATGAATAGACGTGGGCAATATCTTGCCCACAATGTGGTTAACATTAAATTATGACTTTTTAAATTACCCTCAAGTAGAGAAAATTACTTTAATATATTGGTAATTAAGACAATTTTTTAGAAAAATTCAATGTTCAATTTTTCATGGGAAACCCATGACAGAAAAGAGGCATTATCTAATTAGTGGATAACAATTTTTGAAAATTATCCAATAATAAATGAAACTGATTTTTTGAAATTTGGATGAGGCGTTGAAAAATCCGGAAAATTCGCAGAAAAATCTGGTTCACGGTACCATGGGGATTATTTTCCCAATTTTTCCCCACCCGAGTTATAAACCCGCACAACAAAAAAATAACATTTGCATCAGTTTATAAAAGCGTAAAAGAAAGACGAGTGACAATTCGGTAGACAAACGTGACAATAATGACTGATATTTTCCCTGATACTAGCCGAAATTTAGCCCCTGAAGATGAAATTTCTAATATTTCTCCCGCCAACTCATAAACCCACTGAACAAACAAATAATGTTTACATTAGTTTAAAAAGCCTTTGGCAGTGAGGAATCGTAAAAAAAGGTAATTGAGAATTTCCCAGAGAAATGGCTTTAGTAGACTGTAAAGGCTGGTATATACCTGTAGAGAGAAGGGAGAGACTAGAGTAATCACGATTCCAATAGAGCCAGAACGCCAGAGGGCTGACACGAGCCAGCCCATGAGGAAAAGACTCGGAACAAGGCGCTTTTACGGTGTCATCAAGTTTGTAATCTCCCATCCTATCGTCCCTGTGCAATAAACGCTCGAAAAGAAGTTTCTACCCATGCTGGGTAAGGATAAAAATTAAAAGCAAAGAGGGGGGGGATTAAAAGGAAGGAACAAGGTGCACTTGAACTGTGAGGAGTGAGGGCGTACACGTTTTTGCCTCACTTGGCTTCAGCCTCTTTTACTGTTGCCTCTGGTGCAGGTCATATGAGAGTTGCCCATGGAATATCGGTACGTTCGATCTTTACGATACGGGTTGATCCCCCGAACCTTTCTTCACCCCCTTTTGCCACTCCTACCTTGAATCTACCTTGTTGCATTAACATCAACCGCGTTATCTTATGTAAATTAACGCACCACGACAAAAACGCATTCGCCGAGTGTAAAAATTATTTTAATGGATCAAGGGGAATCCCGACAGATTATCCCTTCTCTCTCCTTCATCCCTCTTCAAAATCATATTTACGGTTAATTACATTTTTTTTTTTTGTTGTAAAATTGTTGCGCTAATGCCGCGGAATTCCCGTTTTATGGCCTTTCAACTGTGGAATTTGTCTGTAAAATTGTGTCACCAGCCGGATAAATTCTGGTACTTTTGATTTTAATGGCCAAATGATTGGGCCAATTAATCTGATTAGAGGAATGGAAATAGAAGTGCGCAGGAACGATGAGAATGCTGATGATACGGAGGTGATAGTCCTTCTGGATTAGTTTTAACGGGACGAATTTTTGCAATAACAATTTCTTTGATGAATTTTTAACTCGTTCGGTAAGAAATTCTTGTTGGAGAGAAATTTATTTTTTAATATTACAAAATTTTTCAGTCGATTTACTTTATTAAAGGAAAAAAAATTAAATGAAAAAAAAGAGAGCACAATTCTACAGAAAATGCCACAATAAAATAAGTTGGATGGAAAAATGGAATTATTTTAATGATTTTTATGGATTATTTCACTGGAATCGATCAAAACGTAATGAAATATTCAGTAGAAATTCTTTAGGATTCTGTAGGTTTTTCTGCGTAATTTTTTTAGGTGCGTGCACGTTGGAGGCGAATTGAGATTTCCAACGACTACCATCTAAGAAAGTATGAGCAAGAAAGGTCAGCAATAAATCCCCTAATACGTCACGCACTTAGTTTTCATACTGATTTAATGCCCGGCCATTGGACTTTCCCCATTCTCGTATTTACAACCTGAATTTGGTCGACGTCAGTGGAAATATCATCATTTCCCGACAATTTCCCATTCGTCCAGCAGAGTTCCATATCAACTCCTACCCATGAGATGTTGCACACGTGCCTGTCCATATTTATGGGAAATTAAAAGAAAATGGAGAAATTCTGGTATAGTTTGTACCAGTGTTTACCTCAATTTAATTAATTTACAATGAAATTCTAAATTAAAAACGAAATAGACGGGTAATTATCGTTATGACCTCCAGATAATTACGAGAGAATTTAAACCTGACATTATGTCAATTAAAAAATGTTATTTTATCAAATTTTCATTTTTTTTTTCAAGCCCTCACCCGTAGAGAAATTCTTTAGAAGGATTTTAGAGCTGTTTAAGTATAATTCGTTGTTTAACTACATAAAATTTTATTTCAACTATGTGAAAGTTTCATATCAATACGAGAAATATGCACGCAGAAAAAAAGTTTGAAAAAATAGCCTAGCGACTCATGCAATCAGAAGGCAAAATTCCTATTTTGATCATTTGTGCGGAAATGGAAGAATAATTATGCGGCCAAAGATAACTATTTCCTTATAATCTCATATATTTAAGCGAGTTGAAATGTAATTTCCACCGAATGAGTAATATTTTAGAGCGAAGTGCAAATACAGCGAATATGATATTCTAGCAATTATCGATTTATCTTGAAAACTGTTTTAGTTTACCACCGAAACATTAAATCCCTTTTTTGAAATCTGTACATACTTCAGAGACTGTCAGCTCTAACTTTGAATTAATGGAAACCATTAATTAACATTAAGATTTGACCGGCAATATAAATAACTCTATACAAGAGATCCATAACTTTTAAATAATTTTAAAAATACGAATGTTCTTATGAATTATTTTTAACAACGACTGAGTGACGTGAACAAATCTACGGAAATCTTCATTAACGAATCAATTAATTCTGAACAATTAAAGAAAAATGTATATATACATTGGTAATATGGTATTTTAAACCCGATATTGAATTTTCCTCATGAGCATGAAAATTCGAGTTTTCATTGATAAATCAATTATCATCATTATCACGAAGACTCCAATTTTTTTCAATTTTCGAGATAAAGAAAATTCAGTGGCCATTTCGAATTGAAATTGAATGAAAATTTGTATAATTGAGAATGGAGCGGAATTTGTGACTGAAGCTTGAAGAAATTTTGAGCAGCATGTGGTTTCCACCATTCAGCCTAAAGTGCGGAATTTATATGATCAATTTGACGTGTGCAAACATCCAGAGAAGGGCGTTGAGAGGGAAATAGAGGGCTCGGAGGAGAGGGTAAAGCAATTAACGTTGACGTGCTCGTGAGTTTTATGGCGCCCAAGGTTGTGCTACAAATTAAATTGCACAATGCCCCGACGCAAGAATGAGTTCACTGGCACGAGAGCATTACTGTATTTGTTGTGTATATTCTTTTACCTCTACCTCTAGCTGGGCTCTAGAAAGGCATCGGATAGGCCAGTGTGAATTTAATTTGTTGGATTATCACCGGGCGTGGCAATACCTTTTTTACTCATTATCTCTCCATTACCAAATCTG